AGCTTCCTTGTCTTAATTATACAACCTGAACAGTTACTCTTATCTCCCAGGTAACAAATTAACCATCTTGCTCCCCCTAGTGGAGTTGTAACTCTACTTCAAAGTTTGGGAATACTGTATCAATACACATTTGATGCCGTGTCTTATTTTTGGAAACCAGATATTTTCCCATTTTATCTTCAAAGACTGACAATAAAATAAAAAAAAATATTGCATTGGAGGGGCTGGTAGGGGATGTGGGTAGAGAAAGTGGCTTTTGGTGATGAATTTTTAGTTCCTAGTGTTGGCAAGATTAGCTGCATGATTTATAATGGCTGCTAAATTCCAGGGGCCTTTCTGCTCTGCACTTCTGTCTTAGAGGGATCCAGTGTCATCAGCCTGGCAGACGGTCACCTCTAGAAGGCAGCTGTCAACACTCCTGGAAGAGACAGTGGGGTATTAATAGTTAGTGATGTTGGAAGACAAGGACAGGTCCCATCTGAATATTGAATCCCACTTGTGCCATTGGTTGAGTAGGTCCAGGAAGTATGTTCTGCCTCTGAATCTATTTGAGGGACTGTGCCAATATCCACAGTACATGGCAATCATTTCCAGTTTATACTTGCTAAGCATGCTAAGGGAATTTTCGTAATTGATGCTGAACTTATTGCATACCTCTCTTAAGAATTTCAGTTTCTTTAGGTTATGATAACCTACCAGTGGTTTCATGGTATTGTAATCCCCCCCTTTTTTTTCCTGCCAGTATTTGTCTTTCCCAACTTTGACCCTTGTTATGAGTGTGTATTTATTCAACTTTGTACCCTAATGCACACAGAGCACTAACATTTTGTACATGCCAGCGTTGAAGTGTGTGAAACTTCATAAAGAAATACCTGTACATACCAAGGCTTAGGACTCTGTTCGTTTGCAGGTGAGACTTTGCTTCTAAGCCTTATCAAGGTCAAGGCAAACTCTCTGGTAGATATAGTGGTTGTCAAATTAATGGTCAATGGAGTGTAAGTACTTGACACTTATGAGCAAGAATATCATAATTAGAATATTCCCCCTTTCTTAAAATCATGTAATGGAGGCAGTATTTAGATGTATCTTTTTTTTTTTTTCCAAATATATATTCTCAGGGTAAGTATTTAGGGAAAAATAAAACAGCAAGATTGGATTAAAATCCCAACAAAAAGGAATGTCAAAGTGCTCTCTAGGTATGTTTTATTTGGGAGGGTGGAGAAAAAAAAACCACCCATAATGTGTTTTTTTTTTTTTTTAATATTACTTGCTAAAGAGTCACAGTAATTTAGTTCAAGAATTACATCTAAGCAAACACACAGCATCTGTCTAGCAAAGCATGCATCTGTGAAGTTCTGATTTAGAATCCCATGATGCTTGGATTCACAGTTGTGAAGACAGTGACGTTGTCATGGTGGTGACCCGGCCCAGCTGGGGCTAGAGGTCCCTATCTAGCAAGACTCTGGGCTTTGGAGAACAGGCACTTTTCTCTTCCCCAGGGAGTGTGAGGGATTTTTGTGTGAATCAATGTGTATCTCTGTGTATACATGCATGAGTGTCGATACAGTTATGAATGTATGGGTGAAAATGCACATACAGGTGGGTATATGTGTGTATAGATGTGACTGCAGGATTGGGAGAATGGCTTCTTCCCAATGGATGCTGGAAATTCTCTGCATTGACAATAGTCTGTAAAGCAGCTTTTAGCAGAGCTAGGCCCAGAGGTGTTGGGCACGTGTGCACGCCATTCTGGGTGTCGATGAGACCCTTCAAAATAGTCTCAGTGACTGAGCGTGGAGGTATTTGGGAAGCTCCCTGCTGAAGGACTGTGTTGGCATCCTTGTCTGGCAGCCTTGTCAGGGCGGCTCTCCTTGAGAACATTCCAGCCATAGCTTAGAACCCTTGAGAGCTAAAGCAACAGAATATCTTATGTGTTCCTTATGCTCATGAGTGACAAGAGGCTTTGCTTAACTAGCTGTGTTTCCTTGAAGTGACCAACTAGTGACACATGAACTATTGGTCACTTAAAGGGAACTAAAGTTTGAAAAAAATTGTCAAATTCTACATTAGCAGTGTTAAGTTCTCAACTGTTAATTGATCACTGTTCATTTAACACATAGACCCCAAATGATAAGTCTTTTTTTTTTTTTTTAAAGATTTTATTTATTTATTTGAGACAGAGAGAATGAGAGACAGAGAGCATGAGAGGGAGGAGGGTCAGAGGGAGAAGCAGACTCCCTGCCGAGCAGGGAGCCCGATGCAGGACTCGATCCCGGGACTCCAGGATCATGACCTGAGCCAAAGGCAGTCGCTTAACCAACTGAGCCACCCAGGCGCCCCCAAATGATAAGTCTTGTCAGACTCTGCCCCTGCTTGTCATCTAAGTCCTATGGCTATTGGGTTTGTTGTTTTCTCTTCAGGTTCAAAAAGGCAGAAAAGTACACACAAGCATTTGGTCATGAACAAAGCAGACGGAGGATTATGGAATGGATAAACAAGTTTTCATGTTGTTGTTAAAATCCTGACTTTGTGTCTGATTCTGTTTTTTTTTTTTTAATTTTTATGAAATATGGTCCTTGCCATGGGGCAGATAACCCAGAGACTTGGTTTTAGCAGGTAGTCAGAAGCATGTGGAAGGATCTTCTTGTCTTAAGGCACATCAACCAGCTGACACCAAACTAGTAGAAAACTTGCTTTCTTTTCAAGACTTCTTTCCAGCTATTTAACTGTTGGCAATTTGAGAAAATATCTTTGAATCATACACCTTGGCAAGAAGGTAAAATTGAGAGTATTTGGGGCAAAAGAAAGATATATCTATCTGTCCACTTGCTAGAAACTTTTGTGGCAGGGGGAAAACTGCAGAAAAATTCCTGGCAGATTGAAATACTTATCTGCAACTTAACATTTTTATTTTTTATTTCATTTATTTGTCTTTAGAGAGAGAGAGAGAGAGAGTGGGGGTGGGGGCGCAGAAGGAGAGAGAGAATCTTAAGCAGGTTTGATGCCCAGTGTGGAGCCTGATGGAGGGCTCGATCTCACAACCCTGAGATCGTGACCTGAGCCAAAATTAAGAGTCAGATGCTTAACCGACTGAGCCACCCAGGTGCCCCTGCAACTTAAATTTTTAATATAATGTTTCCTCAAGGAGTCTTATTATATTCTACTGACAGTACTTATATTGGTAGCCGCAAATAACAAGAAACACCATCAGAACCTGTAAGAAAGGCAACAGGAGGATAAAAAAGAGAAAAGAAAATTTATAGGCATAATGAGGACTGGGATTCTCGTGTGGATAGCACTGGGAGACATTGAGGCAGGTGATACTGATGGTTTTACCTTAGGCCAGTGTTCCAAGAGTTAAGTGAGCATTTATTAAAAATAGATTCACAAGTCCCCACCCCAGATAGACTAACTCAGAATCTCCAGGGAAGGGATGTTGGAACATTGTTTTAACAAGCATCTTAGGTGATTCTTATGGTCAGACACGTCTGGGAAACTGCTGTCATCTGATTGCTGACTAGAACTGCTGTAAAGGGGGTGCCTGGGTGGTTGGGTCAGTTGAACGTCTTATTCTTGATTTTGTCTCAGGTCATGATCTCAGGGTCATGAGATTGAGCCCCGCATTGGGCTCCACACTAGGTGTGGAGCCTACTTACGATTCTCTCCCTCTGCTCCTCACACTTTATCTCCACCGGAAAAAAAAAAAAAAAAGAAAGAAAGAAAGAAAGAAAGAACTACTGTAAAGTATTTCTAGAAGGTGTGAGTGTGTGTTGTATGTGTAATTGCCGAAGTTTTTAAAGTGAAAAAAAATTGTCAAATTCTACATTAGCAGTGTTAAGCATTTCTTAATAAAAGTATCTGTTATTTGTGTCAGGTTGGACGGTTACAGAGGGTTTTTCCATGTATTATCTCATTTGTTCCTAATAGTAATCCTATGAAGGCTTGAGCAGCAAAGATCATGCTCACCCCCAGATTACACATGGGAAGTGGGCTCAGCATGTAGCTGGCGAGTGGTGGAGCTGGCTTTGAACAGAGTTCTTCACCATGTGCAGCAAGCCCAACATCAACCCCAGAGCCTACCACTTTTCCTCTTTTACCCCACACTCTGGTCACCAGGTTGATGGCAACATTTCTAAGATACCAGGTTTTTTGCATGTCCACACCTTTGCACACCGTGATCCCTGTGCCCAGAATGCCTTTCCTTCCCTGTTTGCAAACTCATACTCATTCATTAAAGTGCCTTCCATGAAGGTTTTCTAGATATACTCTTCTCCTCACCCTACCTGCCCTCCAAGCAGAGCTAGTTTCTCTTTCGGCTGTGTTTCCATCACACTTTATAAATCCTTTTACTGTCTTTTGGGTGTTGGGTAATGTGGGTGAGTTCAATAATAATTGCTACTAGTGTCCCCCTTCATGATCCCCACCCCACCATTATACCACTTACTGTGTATGGACAGTGGGATGTAATCACTTCGGAAACACTCAGTGCCTTTAGTGTTGGCTATGGGAAGCATTTGAGAATGATTTCAAGGGCTTTCCAAACATTGACAAAGAAATGTTCAGGAGGCCAGAAACTTGGCCATCAACATTCTCTAGAAGTGGAATTGTCTGGGGGTACCAGGATACATTGTCTAACGAGAGGTCGGGAACAATGGAGACTGTCTGCTTAAAACTGCAGATTTGGTAATTGCTTTGATGGGAAACCTAAGGGTGTTTCAAGGATGTCTTCAATTATGGGCGATTTTTATGTCATACTCATAGCCCCAGGCTAGATGTGACTCTCTGTTATGGCTTTCAAATTGTGTTACAGTTATTTCTTTATGCAAATATTTCCCCCACTAGACCTCTAGTGAGGGTGTGTCTGAGCCACATTTATCTTTGTCTGCCAATTGATAATTGTTGAATAAACTTTTGGGGAACAAATCTTGTAGCCATCTGCATCTGAATGCAATCAAATGTATTTAATTATAGTTGTAATTCAAATTCTCCTGTGTTTACAGCCACCACTGGTCCAAGCAATCTTCAGCGGTGATCCAGAGGAGATACGGATGCTCATCCACAAAACAGAAGATGTGAATGCTCTGGTAGGTGATGCTATGTTTTGCCTGCTCAGGCCCTCTTAACCTTTCTGTACCATGGTCCTCTCTGGTGTCTCGTGAAACCTCTCGCCTGCTTCTCAGAATTCTGTTTTTAAATCCACAAAATAAAATATATATGGTTAGAATGGAAATCAATCATATATAAATACAGTTATCAAAATATTAAATATCAAATCTGTGATAGAATAATACATGTGCTTCTCTATTAGCACATTTAAATAGCAAGATACGGCAGAAGATCTAATAATGAGCATAACTGAAGAATAGTGATGAGCATGGTCAATATTTTGTGTTATCTGTGACCACGCTAGTGGGGTAGGAGCAAACCTGTGATTTCCGCAGGTGACCAAGTGACAGTTACCGGAGACACTACTGAGATTGGCTGCCTACCTTCACAATGGAAGGAAATGTAAAATTCCCATCGGAAGTTAGTAAAAATAAAGATGTACTATTTTTGCACCTAGAACTTCTATCCTACAGTAGGGGTTGACAAATTGTGGTCTGTCACCTGTTTTTGTACAGGCTACCAGCTAAGAATGGTTTTCATTTTTTTAAATGGCTGGGGAAAAAATGGAAAGGAGAATGATATTTTGTGACACATGACAATTACATGACATTCAGATTTCAGTGTCAATAAATGAAATTCCGTTGGAGCTCAGCCATGGCTCCTTTCCCACTACAGCAGCCGAGTTGAGTGGTAATTAATGACAGACTGTATGTGGCCCAGAAAGCCAAAGATATTTGCTCTCTGGCCCCTTTGGAGGGAAAGTTTTCTGACCTCGGCCCTAGAGGCTCCATGAACCCGGGACCAGTGGGTGAACTCGGCATCCTGTGTGTAGCCTGGAATCATATGCAATACATGTGTGTGCTTGTGGACATGTGTATTTTCTGTGAACGAGTAAAGGCATTTCATCATATTCTTAAAGGGGTGTATGGCCCCTAGAAGATTAAGAACCCCTGGATCAGGAAGTTCTTGAAATAAACAAACCTGCAATGAAGAAAAGTGAAAAGAGTTAGTCAATAATTTACCGTTTGATAGTTTCCTAGCCCTAGATTGAACAAGCAATTATATGCAGTACACGCTACTAATTCTCTTACTGTAAGTCAATTACCTTAATGCTCTAGTCCTTCGGGGAGAGGAGTTGTCTTTGAAATCTCTAGTGTCAGGTAGAAACAACGGAGAGAGTCAAACACATCAGCAGAAGAAGAGCTTTGCCACAGGGAAATGAATTCTGTCTGAGGTGGGATCTCTCTCCGGTGGGCTGAATGTTTTATCCAGGAGAGTCCTTTCGTGCAGCCTTCGTTCTGTGGCAGAGTGCAGGTTGGTGTGGCTTTTTGAAAAAGCTTTTGGCAGCTTCTCCCCAGCTGACACTGAAAACAATGGGGCAGTGTTTTATGATGTTTTTGCAAAGTAAGCACAGGTGAGGCCAGGGACAGACTCCTCGAAAAGGCAGTTGGGCATTTGTCCAGAACCCGTGGGACCTGAGCTGGGCTTCTGAGAGGAGCCGAGGCAAGCCGGCTGACCTGCCATCACTGGAATTGGCCTCGCCTATTTTGTGGCTGTAGCCCAAGCCCAGGCAAGCCCAAGGCAAAGTTAGTTATTATCTTTTCCTGCTGATTATGAGCAGACAGAACTTTTGTTCAGTCATACATACTGAGAACGATTGCACTGTCCTCTGAATGGCCTTTATTTCTCCTTAGGAAAGTGACAAACGGGGGGCACCTGGGTGGCTCAGTCGTTAAGCGTCTGCCTTCAGCTCAGGTCATGATCTCAGGGTCCTGGGATCGAGCCCTGCATCAGGCTCCCTGCTCAGTGGGGAGTCTGCGTCTCCCTCTCCCTCTGCCTCTCCCCACTGCTCCTACTCTCTCTCTCTCTCTCTCTGTCTCAAATGAATAAATAAAAGAAAAAAAAAAGGAAAGTGACAAACGGTTGCTGGCTGGTACAGGTTAGGAAAGCTTAACTTTAGTTGTAACCTAACTGTATTACTGAATCCGATAGGTTAACCATAGTAACACGTAGACCCCAAATGATAATTGCGCAAACATGGGAGAAGCTTAGTTCTCTTGTGAACAGATTAGAGAGGTGGCTCATTTCCACATAGGGTCCCAGGTATCAACATGTAGCTTCTAAGGCCACCGAAGGGCTTCATCTTCAGTCCAGCCAGCCAGAAGGGGAAAGGGAGCAAGGACGGAGAGCTCAGGAGGATTTTTATGGATCGTCTTGGAAGTGGCATAATCACTTCCACACACAACCCATTGGCCGGAACTGAGTCCCACGCCACACCAAACTACAAGGGAGGTTGTGAAATTCATATAGCTGTGTCCCTAAGGATCGGAGAACATGAATAGTTAACAATCTTGGCCACACAAAGTTTTGGTACTGTAGGTTCTTTTTTTTTTTTGAAGATTTTATTTATTTATTTGAGAGAGAGAGAATGAGAGAGAGCACATGAGAGGGGGGAGGGTCAGAGGCAGAAGCAGGCTCCCTGCTGAGCAGGGAGCCCGATGCGGGACTCAATCCAGGGACTCCAGGATCATGACCTGAGCCGAAGGCAGTCGCTTAACCAACTGAGCCACCCAGGTGCCCTAGAGCCTTCATTTAAATGAGAGCTGATTGATTGCCTACTTCTGGCCCATTATAAAGTGAAGTTGTTTTGCTAAATCTTTGTACCTATTTTTCTCTTTGGTTGTATTTGTTGGTTTTTCTTTTATTTTTTAAAAGATTTTATTTATTTATTTGAGAGAGAGAGAGAGAGTAAAAGCAAGCACAAGCAGGGGAGTGGCAGAGGGAGAGGGACAAGCAGGCTTCCCACCGAGCAGGGAGCCTGATGTGGGACTCGATCCAGGGACTCCAGGATCATGACCTGAGCTGAAGGCAGTCGCCCAACCAACTGAGCCACCCAGGCGCCCGGTACTGTAGAATTTTCGGGAATTTGAGTGTTAACACTTATTTGTCTGTGTAGTGTCCTACTCATTTAAGAGTAATTTACTGAGTTCAGACCCAGTGTTGGGTGCTAGGGCTACAGCAGTGAGAAGATCGCTCTTTCCCTCGTGGAGCTTGCGAGTTGGCAGAGAAGTCAACAATGAGAAATCATACTGACAGCCATTTTGAAAGGGGAAATGCAGGACACTATTAGGGGCCCAGGTTAATCATGAGGGACTGATGAAGTGATGTGCAAACTGACACCTAAGGGGTGCTGTTGTGGAGTTTGGATGTGTGGGCTTTTGGATACGTCAGCAGGGAGGGGTGGAATGGAGGGAGAAAAAGCAATACATGAAGGAATGCCTGACTTCCTTCCAGTGATGGTGTGGCTCCATGGGGTCCCAGTGCTTTCCTCCGCTCTCTCCTCTGTTGACCTCCCTCTTCCTATCCCCCTTTTCCTTCCCTCAGGTGAGTGTAAAGAACCTCATTTGATTTTCTCCTCTCTTAGCAGGTATGTTGGAGACAGTGAGCTGTTCTCTTAATGTCATGCTTTTCTTTTATCAGTACTTCTTTGGTCAGTCGTGTTGACTATCTTGCTGGGGGTGGCTTAGGCAGTTTAGGGAAAGTGATGGTTAACTAAGGGCATATGGAGATGGAAGACAAATAAGGATTAGCAATCTAAATCTGGAGCTTCACTTCAGGAGGGAAGAGAGGCCACTAACCAGTACATTTAAATGTCAAGGAAGGGAAATAAATAATGGAGGAGCCTCCTGTTAATGGGAGGACAATATCTGTCTTCTTCTCTTCTCACCCTTTGCTTTTCTTTATTTACCTATATTTATTTTTCCTTTTTATCCTAGGTTCTGATTTTTTTTTTTTTTTTGCTTTCTTTTTTCTTCCCCACCTTCCTGTGTCTTTTTTTTTTTTTAAAAGATTTATTTATTTATTTGACAGAGAGAGACACAGTGAGAGAGGGAACACAAGCGGGGGAGTGGGAGAGGGAGAAGCAGGCTTCCCACGGAGCAGGGAGCCCGATGCGGGGCTCGATCCCAGGACCCTGGGATCATGACCTGAGCCAAAGGCAGACGCTTAACAACTGAGCCACCCAGGCGCCCCAACCTTCCTGTGTCTTTTGATGGGTTGCTTCTTTTCTTTGATATAAATATCCTTTGATTGGGTGATCCTGATATGGGAAATGATCTCATTTAGCTTTGCCTCTTGGTGTTTTTCCAAGCTTTATTTCCCGCCAGCAGTATTCATGGACCCTATGGATCAAGTGAAGTTTTTCAACCCATTGATATTTATTTTTTTCTCACTTCTCCATTGTTCCCATCCCATCTGCCCTTTTAGACGTATTGTTTCCTCCACTGAGTTGTCCTAATTCTCCCTTCCTTTCTGCTGCCTCTTCTGCCACCTCCCTACCCAGCCAAAGAAACCTCTATCTGCTCTCACCTCCCATAGCTCCTTGTATCTCACTGACTACTTTACTTGAGCTATTTACTTTTGAGAGACTATGTGCTTGATGACATGGTGGACATGTCATTCATTCTGTTTTGCTCAGTGGCCCCGTTTAGTCTTCGCAGCACATGTTGAGTGAATGACTAAACCTTGCTTTATTACTTATGTTGAGCCAATTTGTGGTGGCCTATTTTTCATTTCTGCCGACGAGGACACATTGTCCAATAGTGTCTGGCTTTGTTAGTGTCCCTCAGGTCTCAGTTGTAAGACTGAAAGTTCTCTTTGTAAGATTGAAAATCTATAGGTTTTCAATCACTGAAGAATCAGGAAGGGTACTCTTAGTCTTCCTGTGGTTTCTCTGGCTAGTGGCATGTCAGGGCCTGGAAATGTGGGAAGACAATGTACACTCTGAGAAATCCATTTAAATGGACCTACATGTGTTTGATAACTAGAAAAATTTTAGAAGGCTTTATCAGACTAACAAATTGAGCTCAAGGTGGAGTATCTGAATTCAAAATGAATGCACAGATCCTGAAAACCAAAATTTGAACTCAATAAAGTCATTTTTGGGAACATGACACCAACAGACAGTTGTACAGTGCCA